TAAGAGAAATCAAATACTTAACGGGGCTGTACAGAGAACTGACCATTTTCTTTTCATTATCTTTAGTGATGAGTCGTATATACGAGTTCCACTTCAGGTTTGGGTTGAGTTTAAATACCAATAGGGACTCAAAGCCCGTTCCCTGTGATAGGTGAAAATTCAGGGTCCGCTCTGTGATGGAACGTCACTAGTTTGTCTATGTGAATCTCCCAAATTGAGCGAAGTCAGCTGCCGAGAACTAAGATAATAACTCCTATTAATTGTGCGAGATCCGATTTGAGTAATACTTATCAAAATATTGTGACGAGATTCCATCACCTTAATTGCTGAGGCTTAATCCATTTAGTCAGTTGTTTTATTCAAGTCATTATCTACCTCGAGGGGCGTGTGTCCAGTAAACAGTAATCAAGCAAAATAACGTAGAAAGTACATTAAAAATTTCGTTTGAAAAATGGTTGAAAAAAAAAAATCTAATAATATTAGATATTTTTTAATCATTTCACCCCAAGCCAGGCAATAAAACCACTAAGACGCAAGGGGGGAACAAGTGTGAAAGAATATGAAAAAAGAAATAAAAAACATTATTAGGGGGAAGAACAATAAAATAACAGAATTTTAGAAGACAGAAGATAACGATTGATATTGTGTTTACATTTTTGAAGATCAAAAATGACTGGGTAGTCAGAAGCCGGAAGAGGGTTTCACCAGCGAGTCAAGAAACTGTCGTCCTAGATATAATTGTTTTACTCCAAGGAAGGCGATAAAGCCACTAAAACACAAGGTGGGGATAGCGAGAGTGAAGAAAACTGAAAAATGTTGCTGAGGAGAGAAGACAATAAAATTGACAGAATTCAAGACGACAGAAAATGACGATTGACACAGAATTTCAATTTTTGTAGATTCTATTTGAGTGGAAAACAAGAAGCCGGAAGAGAGTTCCACGAACGAAAAGCCAGAATGAAGTAACATTGTCCAAAAATAAATTTTAAAAAAATCGAAGAATATCAAGTAATTGAAATAAAATTATCACGTTTATAAATTGTGATCGATCCGCCTTCAATAAGGAACTGATATTCAACCTAATTACAATTAACTGTAGATAAATTAATAACAAGAGTTTAATTATGGTGTTCGATTGTTCAATGATAATTGAGGTGTACTCAAAATATTGTGACGAGATTGCATCACTATTTTAGTCAGGCTTGTTCTATTTAATCAGCTTTTTTTATTCAGTGATTGATAGTCAAGCCTAAATTTCAACTCCACAAAAAATATAATTTTTGATTTAAAGATAGGATTTAAATTTATTAGAATCCTTGCTCACAGATAATCTCGTAACTAAGGGGCGGGGGTAGTTCATATGAATATAAGCGATTCTATTCTTGTCAAATAAACACAACACATAAAAATATATATATCAGATTTCAGGTTTTAGAGAGAACAGGAATGATTTAATTTTCTTCTGAATTCTTAATACGTCAATCATCATCAACTTTTGTAGACTTCCCTGCGGAGTATATGGCAGCCATATCTTTCATGTATATATTTGAACGCCGATTCCACTTGTCATGGCGAATACCGTTACATTACGAGCTCTTTCAATAGTGCTTGTTTTTTCTTCTTCTTTTTCTTTAATGCCATGGCCTTCTCCTTTCAGGACGTAGGCGATCACGGCTCTATACCTTTTCTTTATTATAGGTGAGTTATAATGAGAAAGATAGTCGAGTGGATTACTCTTGTCTCCTTTACATTTTTTTGCCCTTCCCTTAGACTTGCTGTCACTCAGGGTCGAGTCTACCCTGCAAAAACGAGAGAGAGAGGTTTGTATTCCCGCTTTTCTCAAGAGAATTAATGTGAAGTAAACAAAACAGACGAGGTTAGCATTTGGACTCAGTTCGTCGATTCCACTTTTAGATTTCACGCAAATAGGGTTCATATTTTGATTTCTTTTCACTGTATTTGAAATAAATAATGTTTTTCAACGGACATTTACTTTCCAGTTTACGTTGAAATATCGCGTATGATAATCTTTACGATTTTATAGACCTTGGTTTTGAAACTGATGCGCTTCAAATAATATTTTAGATTGGGTTCCGCTGCTCCATTGTTTTGTTCTACCTGAATCGACATTAACCCACCTTGGTATTCTTCGGTATGACGATAAACTACATCCGACAGCAAGACCTCTGATCGGGAGATTGGGGGTTTTAAAGAGAGGGGAACCACCACTTAAATGCTGTGGCTCCGAAATCCACCCTGACCCTGGGTGATAACAACTGTTAGGGCCCCAGCTATGGGTAAATAGTGAGACCTACACAGAGAAAAAAAACTGTGAAAGTATAAAAATACATTTTATGGTAAAAAATAGCAGCCATATATTTTTATACAACACAATTAACAAAATACATATTTATAGTAAAATTACTAGCAATACTTTTTAAAGACAAAATGAACAGAAATACATTTTATAACAAAATGACCAACAATACATTTTATCAGTAGATGAAGGCATACAATTGCATTCAAAATATATTTAGATGAAACCATAAAATTCTGTTCTAAATATTTAGATTTTAGTATTAAATAACCCATAGAAGTGTTGATATGTCGCTAAAGAAAATCAGCCAACCAACCAATCATCCACAATGTATTCAATTATAAAAGCAGAGTAACATATTGTAATGACAAAAGTCCGCAGGTGTAGGTTTTAAGACAGCTTTATTCACTTGAGAATACAAGGTTCACGTATAGTGTCCTATTATAGTACCAGTAAACAGAAATAGCTCAAAGAGGAGAGTAACAAAACAAGGGGAGACCACTCTATATATATCATATTTTTATTACTTTCAAGCTCCCAAGAAAATTAAATTTCGGCATTTAATGACGCATGAAGGAGTTGCTACGCCGTTACATAAACAAACCTGTCAATCATTTTACCCACGGTAAAAAGAATCGGTTACCTGAATTTAAACTCTAACTGTTTGCATTCACTTTTCAGTAATGCCCTGAAAAAAGCATCAATTTAATTTTCCAAGACCTAGCTATCGGTAAATGATAATCATAAAATAAGTTGTTTCCATACAAGAATTATTTCGCATTTATAAAACAGTGTTATTGTCCATTGAAAATTATAAAATCTTTTTTCTTAAAACAGATCTTCAGATGATTAGACTTACCGTAAATTGCTACATACAGGTCGACTTCAAGATTTTTAGGTAAAAATTAGTTAAGTCTATACCTACCGTATAGACTAACAGTGGCCCAAAACTTAGGCCTGTCGGTAAATGAACTTAGACTATAATATACGATGATTTGTACCAACCTACATATGATCCCACCACTTACCTGTATATTGAGACAATAACCGTAATATATTTTTTATACGTTCTATGATAACCTACAAGAGACACTGGTAGGTAACGTATATTGTATTAGTATAATTTAGAGAACATTTAAAATTAGTCAAGTCTACAGATGAACAAATTAAAGTCAACATCAGCTCCTACAAAATATTAATACCGTAGATTACTCACTATACCATGTAGTCTTTTGATAGAATTGCTGCGTATCGTATGTTATTGTAAAACACAGTATCACTGTAGTTGTCTGAATGGCCGCCAGAGTTAAATGGCGCTTCGGTCAGTGTTTACATTTAGTATATCAGTAGTTGGACGCGATTTGTGCTGTAGTGTTAATAGAATACAGAATTTGCATTACTATTTTATATTAATGTCTGTGTTAATATGCCAAATGTGTTCACCATACACAAGTTTTAATGACATATATTTGTGGCATCCTGTTGGAGGCAACGTAAGTGTTTACAGTAATCGTTGGGAGTGCTGTCCAATGACTTTACAACCACTTAGTAAAGGTTTGCAGTTTATACCTGTTGACCCCTACTTTTGGAAATACATTTTAGGCTTGAAAATCCAATTTGTATGCTGCAATTAATGGTAGTTCTTTCTAATACTAATGGATGTAACGTTCCAAACTTTTTGTTTTTGGTTGTGTGGAATACAAACAGCTTGATTATATCGTTTTCTCATCTAGTTACACACGAAAAAACTGAGATAGATAGATAGATAGATAGATAGATAGATAGATAGATAGATAGATAGATAGATAATAAAACAGAATGAGATAGATAGATAGATAGATAGATAATAAACAGAATGAGATAGATAGATAGATAGATAGATAGATAGATATAGATAGATAGATAGATAGATAGATATTAACAGACTGATAGATATATAGATAGGTAGAAATTAACACACTAAGATAAATAGACAGATAATGAAAAGACAGAGATAGATAGATAGATAGATAGATAGATAGATAGATAGATAGATAGATAGATAGATAGATAGATTATTATTATCGGACTGAGATAGGAAAATAGAAAAAAGAATGAAAGAAATATATATATATATACATATATATATATATATATATATATATATAGATAGATAGATAGATATAGATAGATAGATAGATAGATAGATAATTATTAACAGATTCAGATAGATAGATAGATAGATAGATAGATAGATAGATAGATAGATAGATAGATAATGAACAGAATGAGATAGCTAGATAGATAATTAACAAATTGAGATAGATAGATAGATAGATTATTAATAGATTCAGATAGATAGATAGATAGATAGATAGATAGATAGATAGATAGATAGATAGATAGATAATTAACAGATAGATAGATAGATAGATAGATAGATAGATAGATAGATAGAGATAGATAGATAGATAGATAGATAGATACAATGATTCAGACTGAGATAGATAGATAGATAGATAGATAGATAGATAGAGATAGATAGATAGATAGATAGATAGATAGATAGATAGATAGATAGATTTTATCGTGTAAACATTAGTTTCATAAAATAGTCATAACAAATCAAGTTGATAAGATTTTCAGAAAAAACTTATATGATATAACAAGTAAATTTAATCCGAAAATACGATGCTTATTAAAAATGTTCATAACTACTCCCAATATCCAGAAGTGACAAAGAACATTGAAAAAAGACTGAATTTGTTGCCTAATAATTGATGGTCGGCGACATGACGAACGAAAGCTGTGAGCCTTTAGCTAACTCTGCATCATGTAATTTTTCATTCTGACATTTCTCTTTCGGGAAATTATTAATTATACCGTTTAGCCAAATTATTTATAGGCAATCAAAGGAAAATTCCTTCCTCTGCCATACGAAGCAGTCCTTTTCTCGAACAACAATAATTGTTTTTATTTTTATAAATTGGGAATGTTTTACAGGGGGCGACGTGTGAGCTTGACGCCCTAAATCGACTGCTTAATGTGTTTCAGCTGCGCTGTTGTTTTATATGGATAACATGCACCTGATTCGGAAATGCCTAAACAATCACCAGTTTTCTCTGTATTTAAAAATGGCTTCAAACGAATAAATCCTTCAAATGTTACAGACGACGATCCTTTATGTAACCCTATAATCTGGCGCTATACAATCTTAAAAGAAGACCTTTACTAAATGACAAAAGCGATATCATTTGAACAATAGTCTGTTAATATCAATTTATTTAACTATATATCTACCACAGTCTGTTAATATATATCTATCTATGTCTGTTCATTATCTGTCTATTTATCTTAGTCTGTTAATTTCTATCTATTTATCTATATATCTATCTATCTATCTATCTATCTATCTATCTATCTATCTATCTCATTCTGTTCACTATCATTCTGTGTATTGCATTCTGTTATCTATCTATCTATCTATCTATCTCAATCTGTTAATAATTATCTATCTATCTATCTATCTATCTATCTATCTATCTATCTATTTATCTATCTATCTATCTATCTATCTCTGTTCGATTTCTATTTATCTATATATCTATGTTAGTTTGTTATTTAACAATATATCTATCTCATCTGTTATTATCTATTTCACTCTGTTAATATCTGTCTATCTATCTACATATCTATATTTCTTTCTTTCTTTCTATCTATCTATCTATCTCAGTCTGTTGATATCTATCTATCTATCTATCTGTTGCATTCTGTTCATTATCTATCTATCTATCTCACTCTATTAATATCTATCGATTTATCTATATATCTATCTATATCAGTCTGTTAATATCTGTTTATCTCAATCAGTTCATATCTGTCTGTCTGTCTATCTATCTATATATCAATCTATCGCAGTCTGTTCATTAATTATCTTTTTATTCGATTTTTTTTTCAAAATTGCTCAGTGGAAAATGTTGTGATGCCATTTCTGACCTTAGGTCTCTGGTCGGAACCCGGAAAGAAATGAGTACACACCAGAAATCAAACAACAACAACAACAATAATAATAATAATAATCCTGCTGTGTTTGGGGTTTTGAGGAGGCACGGTGGATTAGAGAAGGCACGGTGGAGTAGAGAAGGCACGGTGGAGTAATGGATAGCGGCTTGGATTGAGGAATCGGTGAGCCGAGTTCGAATTCCAGTCGAATCCATTACATTCACTTACGTGCACCTTACACCTTGGGAAAGGTGTGAATCCTCTTCTTCTATGGGTAAATAACAGGACAGACTGTGTTCTATAGCCTTGGATGGCAACTGGTCTAGGAGAAGGAAAACTGAATTCAAAACCTACGGAGGGTCGTTTGGGGACCTTGTGGCATGTAGTGCACCAGGTCTCTGTAATCGGCCCTTCAAAAAGCGTGGATGGTCCTGCACGAAACCTTCACCACTATAATCAAATCTCATGTGCTATACATGCAGGAATCAAATCTCATGTGCTATACATGCAGGTTTGGGGACCGCTTGTGAATTCCAAATTCCCATGAAACTCCAATATTGGAGCCGGCTCAACCCACCCCGGGTGAATGCCGTTACAAGACAAGACAAAAGAGAGAGAGAAGAGAGAGAGAAAGTCTGGAGTTTTGGGTCTGCTAAAGAAAGGAACTCAAGAACAGCAAACTGCGCCATATCTACGAGAAATCCCTATAAAAACAGTTCAAACAAATACAACAAATTTTCTGCGAAGATCTTTGTCCGTTTATGTTTTGTTTTTGTTTTAGTTTTTTTTAGTTTTTATTTTTTGTTTAAAGCTATCTTTTGTTTAATTAACTGACAGCAACAAAAAAAAACACCCCCTCCTTCGCTCGCCCTTCCTCATTGTGATCTTCTAAGTGTGATACAAATACCAAAGTATGGCGCACCCGTTGAAGATCGATTTCACTATTCAGCCGTAATTGTTATCGCGAGATATGCTTGTTAACCATTACACACGTCGAGGTGCCCAAGGACATCGCTTATGACTCATGCGATTATAAAATAAATGTAGTTTAAAAAAATAAATTAAAAAAATTAAATAATATTTAAAAAATAAATAATATTTAAAAAAAAATATTTGAAAATTAAATTATATTTAAAAAATTAAATTATATTTAAAAAATAATATTTAAAATTTAAATAATGTTTAAAAATGAAATAATACTTAAAAATGAAATAATATTTAAAAATTAAATAATATTTAATAAATTAAATAATATTTATAAATTAAATAATATTTATAAAATTAAATAATATTTTAAAAAAATTAAATAATATTTAAAAAAATAATATTTAAAAAATTAAATAATATTAAAAACATATAAAGTAAATAAAAATTGGTTGTTATAAATTATTATGAAAAATTTAGAAGATACAGTACCACGCAAAAGTTTACAACACATTACAAAAAATGTTTCTTTAGGAATTTCTAACATTTTGATTAATGAAATTTTTACTGCTAATACATATGTTTAAGCCTTTAGTCAAACAATCAGATTTTTAAAAAATAATCAATGAAAACATCCCACGAAGAAAAAACAATATTTAATAACGCAAAAGTTTATAATACATTTATTAACTCATCTATTCATATTTTGTAGCGTAACCTTTATCGCTAATTACAGCATGTAGGCGTTTAGAGTAGTTTCCAACGAATTTCTTGCATGTTTCTTGGATAATATTTTTTCCATTCATAAAATTAATCTGGAACGTTCTAAAAATCAACCCCATCCTAATTTGGAACATTCTAGTAAAATCTGAACACTTTTATAAAAAAAAAAAAAATGTAAAAAAAAAAAAAAATCTGTGGTAAATTTTTGTTACTAAATATCAGTTTTTCTCCGTGGGATACTTTTTTGAAGTTTTTTTTTAAAACAAATCTTATTGTTTGACTGAATATCTAAATATTTAACCCTTACGTTTTTAAACTGCATCCTTCTCCCCTAAACGCTGAGTTAGTCTACGTGGAGGAGAAACAGGTGACAAGTGGGCATTGTATGACGCTGGAATTACAACATAATTTTTTTTTTTTTCGGCAAAGGATTAATTGATGCTTTTCTTTCTTAATACTGCTTACTAGAATCATCAGACAGGCTGAAGAGTCACCTACCGACTTTATTTCTCATTTGGATGATCCAATCTGAGAAGATTACATTGATCAATAAAATCTACATTTAAAATCACAGCCCCAATTATCTTCTAATTTTAACTGAATGTCACAGAATCAGACACAAAGACCTTCAGCTAATTTTTCACGGCCTCTGCTTCCATACTTGAGTGGCAAGGTTTCCGTTCTCTGAAATGTCAATTTCCTTTCTCTAAGTTTTAATTTTCCGCTTTGTCTCAGTTGCTAAAAATCAGGCATTTGCCTATTTCTAAAAGACATAATACATTTTATATTAGCGAAATGTACTTAAGGCTTTTTTCGTATGAAAGTAAAGGCAGTAGAGTTTCCTTACAGATGAAAAGACACTGAACGCGTCCGAAAATGTGGTTTTACAGAATCCTGACCGAACATGCGAAGAACGAAGAAATTTTAAAGAAAACTGGAACTTCATAAACTCATATACTTAAAGTTCGAAAGAGACAGTTATAATTTCCGGTAAACATAAAGAGGAAAGAAGGTTTGGAGAATTTAACACTCAAAGGACATAGAAAACCGGAACGGCAGAAGAAAATAACAAGTAAACCAATCTAACGAGTTTGTGTGAATGGTGTTTGTCTAAGCGTAGCTTAGATGTGGCACAATGACGAAAGTATAGGACACCCAATGAGGATCGAACTCATTACTTACGAGCGAGACAAGCTTGCTAACGATTACACGCACACCGAGGTACTTCGATGTTTTTGCGAATGGATGATAGAGTGGATACAACAATGGATGGTAGCGAAAGTAAAACGTTGTTTAGAGCTGAACAGACGGGAGGTTGTGAAGAACCATGATCGTCTACACCATAGAAAAAGAAGATGAATCAGTCTGATGCAGTTACGCGGCATGTACCAAATTATTAAACTCTCAATTTTCTTTCAGACATTTTTTTTTAATTATTTGACCCCAAGAAAGGCAATAAAGTCACTAAGATACAAGGAGTTACTGATTGTGAAAGAATAAGAAAAAGAAAAATATTAAGGAGTGATAACAATAAAAAAGAGTAATTAAGAAGATAGTAAATAACGATTGACATTGCATTTAAATTGAAGATCGAAGTTGGCTTGAAAGCAAGAAACTGTCAAAGAGTTCTACAGGCAAGAACTGTGAGAAAAAGAAATTGTTAACAAAGAACTTACAGTTCCATCTGGCCAATTCAACAGTAAAATGAGGAGACATTGTTGCCAATCTAGTACTGTGCTTGAATTTATAAATTCAAGGTACAATAGCGAGGAATCAAAGAGAAAACAAAAACAGAGTGGCCCACAACAGGGCTAAGAGCAAATAGCAATACCAAGAATGCATGTAATAGGATATATATATATATATATATATATATATATATATATATATATATATATATATATTACAGCAAAATTTAAATGCAATGTTAATCACTATCTACTGTGCTCCTGATTGCTCTTTTTTCTCTTCATTACTAATGTCTCTGTTCGTAATTCCACCACAACCCATAACCCCTTGTGTGTCATGCTGTATTGCTATACCTGGGGTGATATCAATTAAAAAAGAAAAAAAAAACAAAACAAATCAGAGTGGCCCACGACAGGGCTAAGAGCAAATAAATATACCAAGAATACAAGTAATATATATATATATATATATATATATATATATATATATATATATATATAAAGGGTGTTACTTAGTACGATGTTTTATTATTATCTCAAAAAAAATTTTACAATCTAAAAAAAATATTTTCTGGCTTTAAATAACCTGCAAAAGTTGATAAAGCATAAAAATGATAATGGCCAGGGAAGTATCCTCTCATATACCTGTTTTAACAACGTGGCAGTTAGGGTAGGGGAGAAGCTGATTGAAACTTCTTCCTACCAATGGAATATGAAGGGTATGAGGATAAATTAACGCCGTCTACGTGAACTGGCGGGTCCTATCTTTGACAGTCTGAATTGTCAGAACTAAGGAATCTTGCTTTTTCTCAACATTTTCCGTGGGTATAGCGATGGAATGGTGGGAGTCTACGAACGTTCCGTCTGTAACAGAGAGTGCTGGAAAATATTTCATCTCTCCCAAGGCCGCGTAATCACTTTTGAACTCTGTCAAGGCTGGAGAGCGGAGACTAGGCAGCACTATTCTAGATGTTGTAGCAATACTCCATATATGGTCTGTAATATATCGAACATGGCAGGAGGAGTCGGATATTTCCTCGGGTGGTGCAAGGAACCGACTATTCTTTTAGACGGCAATACAATGTTTTGCGACGTTATTTGATTTTGGTTTATATTTGTTGGAGTGATTGATTGATACATATATTATTAACCGTAAAATCACGACTACAAATATTTGAAGTCTTAACCATATGATCAAAATACTAAACTAATGAAATCCTTCTACAACGAGAGAACTGTTATTCGAAATGCATTGACGATAGATGAACTGATACACTATTTACATAAATTCTGACTATTGTCCTCATCTTTGTTGCCATATTTATCACAACGTTTCTGCCGATGTACGCTCCGGCCTTCTTCAGGTGGTTGGAATGTCGAACTGAACCCGTTATTTCGCTCGCTGGGGTAGACTGTTCTAGTTCCACGTGCCATGTCTAATGAATGTCAGTTATAAGTTATCTCCTGTT